AATAATAATAATAATAATAATAATAATAATAATAAATAATGATGATAATAATAAAAGTAACTTTTTGATGAAAATAACAGGAAACTATCAAAAATAATCGGCACACAGTTTAATATAAATATTTCTTACTCTTCTTCCGTACTTCCTGATGATGAATCACGATAACGATTATATTCTTTGCGATTTTTATTTTTATTTGTATTAGATTCATGTTCAGTATCCCACCAAGTTCTTCTTGAGTCAACCTGGAATAATTAAAAAGTGTGACTAATGTTAAGATCACTAAATAATAAAAGTATATTTTTATTAGCAGTATATAATTAGTGGTAGTCCAGGTCTTAAGTTACAATAATCCAGTAATTTCTGCCTGCATATCATCCATTCATAGAAATAAGCTAGACTACCACTACTTACTAATATGAAAAATTGAGTTTTTGAATGTTTCAATCTAGCGTTCAGGCTTTATTGACTGATATTCAATGTTTCAAAAGAAGAGAATGTAAATATGACTAAAAAGACTTTTTAAAATCTTTTTTATCACGCGAAAGTATGTTGCTTGAATAATACAATGAAACCAATGTAAGAGTTAAAAAGTTTGAATGAACTACAAATCATATTATTTTTCTTAAACTGCATCCAGAATTAATTGAATTGAAGCAATCTCTAACCACAGAGGATGAGGTTCCTTGTTGAGAAGATCCAGATTCATCAACTAAATTTTGTTGTCTCGTTTCTAAACTTGAATTTCGCAGCAATAGTGGACCTGCTGATACTGATGGAACAAGCAGAGAAACCTAAAAGCATCAAAAGTGTGACTTTAAACTGGTCACATCTATTAAAATAACTAATTATTCAATATAAATAAATAATAGAATAATTGAAACACAGCATCACATCCAAACGGCCAAAGAATTCTTCAGCTTTTTAAAAATTTTACTAGTTGAATATTTGACAAAGACTCGTTCCAACTTACTGAAGAAGAAGAAGAGTCATTTGAATTCAGGCGTGGTCCAATTTTTTTTGGTGTGTTAGTTCTTTTTTCCGACAACAAACCCAGATTATCCGAGTCATCTTCATCACTAATAAAAATTTATATGTAGGCTTAACTGAATATGAAGATGCAAACATAATGAAGAAATAACTAGGCAAGTTTGCATCTTTAAAACAAACAGATTTCAAAGTTTCATTAATATGACTTTGAATACACGATATTTTCTGTTAATACACAAATTCTCCACAAAGAAACACAGCATAATTGAATTTTCTTTTCAGCACATATATTCTAATCATTTGTAAAAGTTATACTCTATAGACACCATACCATGTATTAGAAAAGCAATTAAAATATTAGAAAGGATTTGAAATCGTAATGTGTTGAATTAGTGTAAAAATTTCGTAGAAAACAAGTTTTTCGGATACAGATTGTCAAATACTGGACACAGACATACTTATTATAGTTCCGTCTTCTTCTACAACCAATACTGCGAGACCAACTGGTAGTTTCGTGCCGATTTCCGAGTTTTCTTGATTGCTTCACTGTAATGGTTATTGTTTTAAAATAATATGTAACACACAACTTTGCTTTTTTCAGCACCTCTAATTATAACAATTCAAGTTGATTCGGTACGGTATGCTGTAATGATACTTAAAGCAATCATCTTGCATCAGTAGAATGCATCAAAGTTTCAGACTAATCCACATTACAAAGAATAATTTTCGAAACACTCTTTCACTACATAAGATTATTTTCTATCTTTCACATCTCATAACCAGAAAATGAAAACTATTTTTTTTGCATAAATTTTTGCTGAATACAAAAATGAAATATTTTATTACATTTTCAAAATCAAGTCATTCGTAAACATTGAGTAAAAAGCTAATGAAAAAAGCAAAGTACCTTGCGAGCCATTTTGCTGTCTGGATTCATATACCGCACTTGAAGGTCTATAAATTACTATCTTTAGAAGAAAATCATTACATGACCAACTGGGATTCAGTAATAAATTGGAAAATAATGTACATAAGTCTTACAAGCTTATAATATTGAGATCCATGAATTTTGACGGCCGTTTAGGTTGTTGATGCTGAAATCTATGCAATATCATAAAAATTCACGATTACAATAACTAAAACATTAATAGTTATTAATAGAGTATAAAAGTTAGTTTAATAATATAAAGTCAAAATAGAAAATAAATATGAGAATAGGAAACGAGCATCATTACGCAATTATTTCGTGATTTATATCATGAAAAATAACCCTCACGCGTCGCAATATTCCACGAGGTCTTGAGCTCGATGACATTTTCGAAGAATATGATGTAACACTCCTGCGAGAATTCATTATGCCATCATGTCGCACATTATTCGCTGCATCAGCATGCAATTTTTGAGACGATGCACCATAAGACAAATTGCGCGACATCGCGTGCATTATCTTATCTGCTGATGCACTTCTCAAAAATGAAGAATAGCCATTAGTCTG